TTTGAAGATGCATCAAAGAAGATATGCAGGAGAAATTTTTAAGAAATTTGAAATGAAAGAATGCAACTCGACTTCGACACTTGCAGAACCAAGACTGCAACTGTCGAAAGATGCAGATGAAGATGATATCGACCAAACCCAATACAGAAGACTTATTGGGTCATTAACATAACTTTGTCACACGAGGCCTGACCTAGCATACATTGTAGGTATGGTAAGAAGATTCATGCAGGAGCCAAAGTTATCACATCTAGTAGTGGTGAAGAGGATACTAAGGTATCTCAAAATAACTCTCTACTATGGTATTTTGTTTCCTGGGGTTGATAAAGGAAAAGAATGCAAGTTAGTAGGGTACACTGATTCAAGTTGGTGTAGTGATATTGATGATTTAAAATCCACAACAGGATATGTGTTTATGCTAGGTGGTGCACTAGTTGCTTGGGGTTTGAGAAAGGAACCAGTAGTGGCGTTATCATCATGCGAAGCAGATTACATAACTGCTTCTCTTTGTGCATATCAAGCAACTTGGATGGTGAACTTGTTCGAAGAGATAACAGGGAAAGATCATGGAGCAATTACCATAAAGATCGACAGGATGTCAGCCATCAATTTGTCAAAGAACCCGATAGCTCACGGTCGAAGCAAGCACATTGAAATGAGGTTCCACTATCTTCCAGAGCAGATAGTAGAAGGGAAGATGAACTTGGAACACTGCAGAATTGAGAATCAAATTGCATATATCACGATGAAGGGGGTGCATGTCTAAATATTCAGAAGACAAAGAGCCATGGTGAGTATAGATAGTTTAGAAACAATGAATTAGGTGGTGTGTTAAATTGTAATTCTTGTGTGTCAAAACTATGTGCATTGAAGGGTTAGAGATTGTTGAAGTAGGTTGCTTGATAGAAACCATTGCCCAATCGAAGATCTTGTGGATCAAAGCAGGCTACACACAGATTTAATTTGGTTTTAGATTTAGATTTGATTTAGATCTAAAATAAATAGATTTGATTTAGTTTCAAAATAGACATTTTGGGCTTTCATAGTTTTGGGCTTTGGCTTAGGGTGAAAGCTAACCTAAATCTATAAATATAGGAAGTAACCCTTATTTTTGTAATCAATTCAATCAAGTTGTATTCATAGAATTTGCAGTTGCAAGTGAATAATAAAGTTTTCCACGGTTTGTGGGCAGAGAGAAACTCTGCAGAAAAATACTTTCTTTCTTTCTCTATCTTTTATTTTTCATTGTCATTGTGTGGTGATATCAATCTTGTTCATCAAGAATGGTAGAAATTTACATAGTTTTAGGTGGATTTCCAACACCCTGAAGAAATCCTCCACAATTCTCCTCTGTACGAGAATGCGATTCAGGAAGCTATATAGGGGTGTTCATGGTACAAATTGGATCGATTTTGAGTTAAAAATCCATCTGATCCAAAAAAATTTATTCGCGGTTCAATTTAGTTTTAGATGATTTATTAAAAAAAGTTGACTTGATCCGATCCAATTTCATATGGTTTAATTTAGATCGAATTTTAGATATCTAAATTACAAAATACATTTTTTATTAGGGTTAAATACTCTTTACCCCCTGACATATGAGCGTGTTTTGATTTGCCCCACCCTTAAAAAAAATTCACCCCTCAACAAATATAAATTCCTTCACCATAGACCCTGGGTGACTATTGCACCCAGAATCTTCTTATGTGGCACAAGTTGGCATGCTGATTGTGTATTTAATTTTTAATTTATTTATTTTAATTTGTGACGTGCCAATATTTGGATTATTTTTAAATTTGACTTTATTTAATTTGTGACATGTATTTTATGGGTTTGGTATGAAAACATTAAAAAATCACAAAATTGATAACTTTTGGGTTCAAACCCAGATTGTATAAAGCACCCAACCACTAGGCTAATTATTTCAACCTGCTTATGTTAACTCAGTTATTACCACTACTTCAATAAGTAATAATTGTATATGCCTTATGTTGTTTGTTAATAAAATTGTATATCTATAATATAAGAAAATTCATTCTATCCATTCTGTCAATTTTGTCCTTTTGTTCCAAAAACACTCCATGTGGATACCTTATTTAGTCTCTATTTCAGATTTTCAGATTCTCCTAAACACTACCACAATGCATTTGTATTCCCTACCTCTCCAACAATCCTTATTCATTGCCAATTTTGTAACTGTTATCCATAACTCACCATGGCTACCATTATGTAACTATCTCCCAAGCACCCTCATGGGTACCATTCTTTATAACCTTCCATGTTCTAAATTTATGTTACAACATCACCTTCCTTTAACCCTACCGTTTTTGCATCCTGATTTGTGCTGAGTTAGTGTTTATTATTCAGTTTGAGTGAAAAAACTGAATCGCAGAAGGGGGAAGATACACGGTAGACTGAATCAATTTCATCTCTTTGGTGGTCGACAAAAGTGTGAGTAATTTCTCTTTGTGCTATTTATTTGTTATACAATTGTGGGATTTGTTCAAAATCATTTTGAGATGGTGGTTTACGGTTTTGTTCAAAATTTTGTTTTGGCGTACAAACCCTAAACCTATATAGATTTTGGCTATGTCTCAACTGGTACACCGCTATACAAGTCATTTATACAGATAATGTAATTTTCCCGGGTCGACAAACTGTTGTAGTCTTAAATATTCGATTATATTTATGTAGGATCTTGTGGTTTGTACCTCCGTGTAGGATTCTGGATATGTTTGAACTTTGGGTTATTGTGGGTTATTTTTCTTTATTGAACCAGTTTTTTATTATTTATGACACATACAACACAATATTGAGAAACTTTGACGTGAAGTTATAATGATATTTTAAGTATGTGCTCGTCTCATTTTATACAATTTTGTACTTCATTATTTTGTGGTTGATAATAAAAAATTTGCAACTTCATCTCATTTTCAATGTCATAGATTTCCGATAATGAACCCACTATTACGGCTGGAAAACGCTTGAGGAAATGTGATTGCTCTTCAAGAAGTGAGATTAGATCGTCTGAGAGTATATTTTGTGTTTCATTTATCAAATGTTTTTCCCACTTTCATGTTTCATTTTATCGATTTAAGGCATGTCTGAGCTTGCCCTCCATGTGTTTGATGAAAAGTAGGAATGACAAAGTGGTTGTCGTTGTTGCATTTCATGGTCTGAGGATTGAAAGGCCTCTGATGCACATTAAAATTTGATCTTTATCTATACTATTTTATTGTGTTAAACAGAGCTGGTACAGTAAAGACTTGTGTAAATGATTTTTGTTTGTGATTCTGTTCTTTGCCATACTATCTTAGGCTCTATTTATTTTGTGAAAATACTTAATTTCAGTCTTTAAGATTTGTGTTAATTGTACTCACTAAAAATTAGATACTATGCTTTTGAAGTGAATTTCTTTTGAAGTAAACGTCTGTTAACTAAATAGCGGTGGGATGAAACTCCTTGTATACTAAGTATTAGCTTTGATTATACTATTTTGGTGATTATTGCATACAAGAATTTTAGGTTTGATTATACACAGTTTGGTGACTATACACAGTTAAATGACAGTTCTGCTAAGTAAACTCACAGTTCTTCTACTTTGGCATTGTTCAGTTAATTCATTACACCAAGGACAATACTTTGACGACATGATGATTTTACTGTCTTGACGCATTTGATGACCATGGCAAAGGTTGCTTTCTTATTAGTTATTGAACTGGGGGTTTATTATTTATTGCAGTTTATGGGAGTTTACTTTACATGAAAACATGCCACTGAAAGACTCTACTGAGACAAAGATGGGCTGTCAAAAATGTAGAGGAGGTAGGATGGGAAGTTGGTCAGATCTAGTATGGATCATACATGGACGGTAGTTGGAGTCGGCGGCTCTCCTAGGGTTTCCTCATCTGAAATCCTGGGGAAGAGGATCAAGCTGGCCCTTGCGAACAACTTGATGCACTATCTCCCTTCAACCCTTTGAGCGAAATGAGGGAAAACAAAAGGAAAGAAAATCCATGGACCGACCCCATCGTCTCCACCCCGTAGGAACTACGAGATCACCCCAAGGACGCCTTCGACATCCAGGGGTCGCGGACCGACCATAGAACCCTGTTCAACCTGAAAAGGGATAACTAATGCGTTCTCAGGTTGAACAGTTAAGGGTCGGAGAAGTGCAATTACTCATTCTTAACTTAAAACCTACATTCTTAAGAGCAAAGAGTCGGACGAAAAAGGGGGGAGAAGCTCTTCGTTCTCGGTTCTCCTGTAGCTGGATCCTCCGGAACCACAAGAATCCTTGTTTGAATGGGATTCTAACTCAGCACCCTTTGATATTTTGAGAAGAGTTGCTCTTTGGAGAGCACATTACGATGAAAGTTGTAAGCTGTGTTCGGAGGGTTATTGTCTATCGTTGGCCTCTATGGTAGAATCAGTTGGGGCTTGAGAGGCGGTGATTTACCCTGTGGCGGATGTCAGCGGTTCGAGTCCGCTTATCTCCAACTCGTTAATTTTTATGATATAAAACTATATGATAGCATTTATAGCACTCTATTTTTCCGATTCGGTAGTTTAGTTTAAGCTATGTTATGATTTATCATTTATGGACGTTGATAAGATTCTTCCATCTAGCAGCATCTTAGGATGACATAGAGTTGAAGTGAAGGGCGAGGTTCAAACGAGGAAAGGCTTATGGTGGATACCTAGGCACCCAGAGACGAGGAAGGGCGTACTAAGCGACAAAATGCTTCGGGGAGTTGCAAAGAATCAAAGATCCGAGGATTCCCGAATAAGTCAACCTTTCGAACTGCTGCTGAATTCACGAGCAGGCAAGAGACAACCTGGCGAACTGAAACATCTTAGTAGCCAGAGGAAAAGAAAGCAAAAGCGATTCCCATAGTAGCGGCGAGTGAAATGGGAGCAGCCTAAACCGTGAAAATGGGGTTGTGGGAGAGCAACAAGCGTCGTGCTGCTAGGCGAAGCAGTCGAATGTTGCACCCTAGATGGTGAAAGTCCAAGCCGAAATCATCACTAGCTTATGCTCTGACCCGAGTAGCATGGGGCACGTGAAATCCTGTGTGAATCAGCAAGGACCACCTTGCAAGGCTAAATACTCCTGGGTGACCGATAATAAAGTAGTACCGTGAGGGAAAGGTGAAAAGAACCCCCGGCGGGGAGTGAAATAAAACATGAAACCGTAAGCTCCCAAGCAGTGGGAGGAGCTGAGGGCTCTGATCGCGTGCCTGTTGAAGAATGAGCCGGCGACTCATAGGCAGTGGCTTGGTTAAGGGAAACCACCGGAGCCGTAGCGAAAGCGAGTCTTCATAGGGCTATTGTCACTGCTTATGGACCCAAACCTGGGTGATCTATCCATGACCAGGATGAAGCTTAGGTGAAACTAAGTCGAGGTCCGAACCGACTGATGTTGAAAAATCAGCGGATGAGTTGTGGTTAGCGGTGAAATGCCAATCGAACCCAGAGCTAGCTGGTTCTCCCTGAAATGCGTTGAGGCGCAGCAGTTGACTGGACATCTAGGGGTAAAGCACTGTTTCGACGCGGGCCGCGAGAGCGGTACCAAATCGAGGCAAACTCTGAATACTAGATATGACCCCGAAGAGCGGCTTTTGCTAAAACTCTAGCAGTTTCTTGAAAACTCGCTTCAGATATGAAACTTTGAGTATTCTGAGATGTTTTTGTTATTCCCAATAATAAAGCTCGGTAACAAATGGGTTCTTCCAAGGCACGCCCCATTCGTTCTGCTCGCAATAATCCAATTAGTTCGCCAGGTAAAAATACATTAGACATTCCATCTTCTGAAACCAAGACTTTGGATGTTATTTGACGCACAATAATCTCGATATGTCTATTATGGATATGTACTCCCTGGGATCGATAAACCTTTTGGATTTTATTAACCAAAGAAATACGACTTTGCGCTATAGTTAGCTCAACACCAATCAAGAATCCCCAAGGCATGCCGAGAATTTTTGTTATACACTCGTTCCAAGCATCAATTCTTTTTTCTAGATTCATGGATATTGAATCAATCGAACATATTTCTAATATTTGTTCCACTTTTGGAAGACCTTGTGTTATATCACCGGATCTCGATTTTTCATATATGAATGTAACTAAAATATCTCCTTGAGAAAGGATCTCCCCATAATGGCCGTGAATGGTTGCTTCTGGAGTCGCCAAATAAGGATTAGCCAATCTTATTATTACAGAATCCATTTGAACTGTTATAACTTGACCAGATTTTAGTTTTAGGTGTGGTCCATTTTTCATTTTAGCTATACATATATTTTCACAAATCAATTGTCCAAGACTTATTATTGTAAACGTTTTTTCACAATAAAAATGATGGAGAAAAAACCAATTCAAATGGAATGGATTCACAACAATATTACTGTATAGATCGGGTTTAAAATTTTTCTCATTTTCGTCCATTAAATAATATTTAATTACTTGAAAAATTTCAGTGAATTTGTCAAGTTGCAAATTTTTAATGATTGAGATCTTATTATGAGTTATTAAATGATAAAGTGAATAAAACTTCGCAACTTGAAGGGCTATTCCTAAAGGGCCGAACGAATTATTATTATTAATTGAAATTATAGGATCTTTTTTTATTCCATTGTGAGATTTTACATTGTTGAATGGTCTCATTTGAAAACAATTAGATGATGACAAAATTATCCAAGATCGGCATTCTTTCTTTTTATTCAACAACATACGAATAGTTCCGTGATTTTGGCTAAGTGATTGTTGAATTTTTCCCTTGGAATGAATAGAAAAAAAGGGATTAATTCGATCCGATTGATTATCCCTGATCAATCCTAAACCAGACGGGTCATTTCTTTTTCTAATATATGAAGTATTAGATTTTACTAAGTCAATTCTTAGAAAATACTCAATCAAACCATTTGTACTTACTTCAATAAAGGAAGCGGGGGCCTCCTCAATAGAAGAACTTTTTTTCCCGTGATCCCAATTGAAGACTAAACAAGTCCGAACTAATTGAATCCTTGTGTCGGAAATTCCCCGAATGGATTTTCCATTTCCATAAAGAATATAATTGACAACTTTTAGTTCCAGATTATCCTTTTCCTGGAATAGATCTTGGGGAAAAAGTTTTACAAAATTGATACTGTCCGGTATTTCATATAAAATTACAGGTCGAACCAAAACAAAATACTTTTTCTTGGTAGTTGCGATCCATTGGACATAAATCCAATTTTTTAATTTTTTTGATTCCTTGCATTTATTTTTTTTACCGTTTCGGGCGGTCTCAAGATGGCACTGTGTCGGGATATCTTATCCATCTCTCCGGGAAAATGGATATTTCTAGAAAATATTTTTAATTCTATTTTTTCTTTTCTTTTCTAATCGGACCAATCCGCCTACTCGACTTCTTATATTGAAAGTGATTGGTGTTCCTATTCCAACAAGACTATTATTCCGTACAATTAGGGAAGAAGATTCGGGTAAAATATGCACTTCTTCGGGAATAAATTTTTTTTATCTACTTGAATTTGGTATTTTGGCTTTACTTCTTCGATTCCTTGATACTCACTGAAATCTTCTTTTTGAAAAATAGAATGAATTCCTATAGTTGTATATTTAGTAATTCCTGAACTCTGTCTTATGTATTGAGGATCATTGAAATAAGCAAAAATACTATTTTCATGAAAAATACCATTGATAGGTATTTCAATGGAGACACCGGAAGGGGACATTAGTTCGTTCTTTCGTTCTTGAATCGATTGGAATGGAAATGGAATAAGAAATCTATTTCTTCGCCTTTTCGCCAAGAAATAAAAAGTATCGTTCAAAATAGCAGGATACATTAAATCAGAATGATCTGTACATATGATTTGATTCAATATTGAAGAATCGCTAATCCACTTTTCTTTTGTACCAAAAGTATTGAATTTATGTTTTACTTGATCATTCCTTTCTAAAAGATTCGAAATATTTGTTTTTCCATTAGAAAGTGAATCCATGGTAACTTGATCTTGATCCTTGCGAAGTAAAAAATGGATTGTATTAGACCTGCACGACTTTCATGACAATATCCATAAATGACTTGTTTTTGGTAAGATATGTACATTACTATATATAAATTGTGATGTATGGTACACATCGGTACTCCAATGCATTTCCCCTTCTGAGTCAGAATAAATATGTTTTTGAACCCTCTCTTTCAAATTTAAAGTAGATGTTCCCGCACGGATCTCCGCAATCACTTGTTCTGATTTTACATATTGATTATTTTGAACTAATAGAAAACTTTTTGGTGGAATAATGACGTTATGTATAATATCGTCACTTTCAATAGTTACATAGAAGTCTATATTACATATAAAAGCAGGATATCCATGACGTGTCCGTGTAGGGTGAACTAAATCCTCATTAAATTTTATTTTTCCATTCGAGGGGACTCGCACATATTCAGCAGTACCCCCCCGTGAATACTCCACCAGTATGAAAAGTTCTTAATGTTAGTTGAGTTCCCGGTTCTCCAATAGATTGACCAGCAATAATCCCTACCGCTTCTCCCAATTCTACCAGGTCCCCATGAATAGGACTCCGCCCATAACACAATTGGCAGATCCAAAACGTATTCCTACAGGTAAAGGGGGAGGCACTCACTTATTACAGAGATGGTGCGATTTGATTATTATTAGTTTTCAGATATACAAAGTCCCATCAAAAGATTCATCCAGTGCATTTGTTGTATCAGTATAAATACATTTTGTTCTCAGGTCACATCCATTACTATATCAATGACGATAATAACAAAGACGATATCGCCACCAGTTACGCCTCCACTGATGATGCTATTCTGATTAACTTCGGCATGAACTGCAACCGCAAGCATAAACAAGGTTTGATCATTTATATCTGATCGCTTAACTTTTTTCAGTTAGAAATTTCATCCAATAATAGTCGATGTTGATTAAATTGGTTGAAATTAAAACGTGATTAATGTTATTGATTTGTGTGTGAATTTTTGAATGGATCAGGAATTCCATGGATGGAGGAAGAGCATAATTTGTTCTTAGTTGGATTGCAGAAAGTAGAGAAATGGGGTTGGAGAGGAATCTAAAGCCTAATGATATGGCTTATGTTGCAGTTGCTACTGCAGCTTCTTTAGTAGCCTCTCACTGCCTTGAAATTGCAGAATATATGGGAGCTGAACATGAACAGATTGCAACCGCAGTCGACTCGGCTATTAATGCGAAAACGAATGGAGATATTAGGACTCTTACAGCTGGAGCAGCAACATGTATTATATTTTAAGTCAATCTATGAATCTTGAAGTCTAACGCAAAACAAGAGATATGTATTGAAATACAAAATAGCCTTGCGTGGAGCTGCAACTCTAAACGCGCGTCTAAAGAGGGGGATTAGAGCTACTACGATTCCCCCGATTGAGGATAAGTGTGGCGAAGCCAAAAAAGCAAGCATCTTGACAGCACTGGACTTTGTCTTTCAAGGAGGTGTACTTCTCAAACGTACAAGAAAATGTATGTTTGAAAAAAGTGGTTTTTTTTTTTGTAATTGAAGAATAAATTCTAATGCAAGTAAATGCTATTTTAAATTCTCAATATTATTTCAAATTATTTTAAATGTTATTTTCAATGTTATTTCAATATTATTTTCGATATTATTTCAATATTATTTTAAATGTTATTTTAAGCAAGTTTCTTTCAATATTATTTCAAATTTTCAGGTAATTGGTTGAAGAACAAATATCTACATTCATTAACAAATCACGTTTTCAGGTAGCTGGCAAAGTAGTCATTTGATGTTTCCACTTATGCTTATGAATCTCTTTTTCGTTTGTAAGATCTTCATCTAATTGTGTTTTGTGTATTTTCTCCCGTGTTTTCATTATCATTACCACAAGTATAGACGAGATTAAAACCAACTTTACATATTCACTAATTATTGCGAGATGGTTTACGACATCATACCACATAGATTTTGACATCAAGGCTGGTGCAGACAAGTTTGGAAATATATCTATTTTGTGCGATTGTCGCAAATGTATTTGATGAGGTAGAAGAATATCCTACTGGCGGGAGGATCAAGTGGGAGCAGGGGTCGCTGAATGGACCTGTTATGTGGGACTGCTATGGGATGTATTAGGGCATTACATGTTTTTCTTAATCAATCAATCATATAGAAAATGATCATACTCTTACATGAATAGGTAATAGCTTTTGGAACTTTCAGCTTTTTCATTTATTTGGCATGGTGGTAATTGTATAGTTCATTCAAAGTTTCTATGGTTTGAAAAAATTGTAAAGCAAATGAATCATAGGAAAAATCTTATTATTTATGTTTCAGGGATCGTATGCTGAGAGGAATTCATTTAGGGACTTAAATTTCTCTTCATAGTTTTCTTGTTGTGTTAGTTTTATAAAATTTCTGATTGGCAGTCATATTCAGGTTCTCTACATTGGCAGATGTATCACATAAACATGCTTCTGATGTTGATCTTTTGTCTCTAAACAATCTATGGAAATAGACCGAAGATGGAAGATGCTATTGTTGTTAAACAAAATCATCCTTTGGTAACTTCAATTTATTGAAACTGAAACTTATGATATTGCAGACTGTGTTTAATGGAATTAAAATGATTGGATTCAATATAATAAACTTGCACTTAGAAGGGAAAAATACAATATTGTGCTTTGCGTTCTTTTTCTTAAGTTTCTTTATTTACTGGCCATGGATTAGGAAAGATCATCTCATTATCTGATGAGCCAGGTATTTTGATCTTCCCGCTGGTGATTTGGAGGATTGGTCCAGTGGACAAAAACTATGGTGTTGTCGTCGGTGAGTCTAAATCTACTATGCTATATATAAAATTGGTATCAACCGATGCACTATTTCTTTCTGCAGTCAATGGCATAAATAGACTTGAATATCGGCCCTGTCTTCTCATTGTTCATGCACTGCTTTCCCCAGTACTCATGCAGGCGGCAAAAGCGAGTAGAAAATTTGTATGGTTCGAAGCACAGAAAAGAGCGAGTGTAGAAATGAAATCTAACTCAGAAGCAACAAAACACTTTTCCTATTTTAACCATTGTTTTCATTTCTCAACTGCAGAGATTACTCAACCGAGACACCAGTATAGTTGTGGCATGTATGGAAGCTTTAACTTGAAAAAGGATGGTATGGTCATGTTTTTTGATGGCGCGTTACGACAAAGGTGACTACTAATATCTTGATGAACCACATCTCCAAACTTAATCAAGTTATGACAATTCATGGCGTGTTTACTCATACTCTCATTAGCTCTTTTCTATGCTAAGCTTTCTTCTGAAAATAATAATGAAAAGGAAGAATTTTGGAATTAAGACTATATATGTTTTTTCCTCTGGTTCTTTCATAATTTTTATCTTCACTGATGGAGTATTTCATTAGTTATATAGAGACTGCTCTTGAGAGTATCATCTTGCAATGAATATCTTATAGCAAATCTTTTTTTTTGTGCAATGGAGTTTAAGATTGATGACTCCAGTAATGGTGATACAATAGGAAATGTTACTACTTAAGAGGTTAGCAGTAGCATAGCTGACAAAGACAAAGTTTACTGCAGTTGTTTTGATCCAACAGAAGAACAGGATCAAGATGATAATATGACTCAAGATTCTTCTAGAGTAGACCAAATTCTGTTAGCAATTCCTACATTATCAGCTGTTAGAACAGTTGATGAGCCCTATATGGGTCAGGAGTTCGTATCAGAAGCTGAAGCACATGCGTTTTATAATGCATATGCTACACGCGTTGGATTCGTCACACGTGTAAGTAAGCTGTCACAAATCACTAGATTTTCAACTATAGGCATTGTTTTCTTCTGTCCCATCCTGCAGAGTGCATCAGTTGCAGATTACAATTTTAGATAGTTTTACTACCATCTGGCAACCTTTGTTGTTTTTGATATGGTATTTTATTTTTCTTATTTTAAGCTATGTTATGTAATGTGTACATGTTTCCTGGCAGCCTCGATAACTGAAATTAACTATTAGTTGCTTAAAATTACAAGATTTTTCCTCTTTGTTAAATTGAGGCAGTGTTTTCCTGTTTTGCATATGGGTGGTGCGTTGTTTTCAAATAAGACAATGTTTTCTTTGGTAATATGATGTTTGTGCATCCGATTGTCTATGTGTGTAGGGAGAGCATATGCTGATTTTTTGGTGATGGATACATATCTCAATGTGCCATACAACAATATTGGAGGCTGCATATGTCAATGTCCTTGGTTTTGGATTTGTTCTATTAATTGTAGTATTACTAGCAGTAGTATATATTAAATTCACTTGCTAGAGATAGAAGTAGCATATATTACTAATAGGGTATATATTATAAAAGAAAAACTAATGTTTTCGTATTAATGGCCTGAGATGACCATAAACATTTTGTGATGGTGTTCTGAATTTGGCCTCTGGTGTTGACTCGCTCTTACTGCACCATTTGACAGGCGCGGAACAAAATCCAAACTAAAATAATATTTGGCAAATTGGAATTATATACCACATCAACCGTGAGTAACCATTAGTTATCTTTGGCAGTGGTAAAGAGACTACTATTAATTTGAATTATAGTAGTGATATTGAATATAATTTTTCATTCAATCATTTCAGTTAGGATGGATGCTGAAACTATTTGCTGATATTTCCTTATAGCTTTCTTCTTCTAAATGTATTTTACTTTCACTTAAGATAAATAATAATTGGATTAGGTAAATGCACCAAATGAAATTAACTCGGTGAAATACTTTAAAGACAATGAAATGAATGAATTTCAAAAGTCACTTGAAATATAGAAAAAATAATGAAAATACATGTTAGAATATTAATACTTGTATTGTATGGGATTTCCAAGTAGACAAGACCAAGTTGTGATGAGAATCAATGGAAAAAATGGCTATTGGCTTTCATCATTCAAGTTGCCATTGACTCCCATCACAACATGCACCAGGAAGCATGGAGAAATTACTGAAATTTTTAGTAAATTGAGCACTCTTAGCAACAAAATGGGGTTTGAAGTCGAGTCCTCCATATATGACAGTGGGGTCTGGTTTTTCTAAAATAACTAATTCACTTTATAGTGTAAAGAAATAAATGTAATCCACTAATTAACAAACCAATGACAAATGTTGTTTGTAAGTACATCATAACAAATTGTGAGTTTATGAAGATCTTTTCATTTTACACTTTAGTTATTTTAAAAAATCTAAATCTATGACAATAATATTGTTTATATTTTGTTTTAGTGATAGATGTAGGCTAAAATTTTAATCGATATTTAATTTAATTTGTTGCTACAATTATATTTTGCACATCTTTTTAGAGACGACTATTTTTCACGTTATGCTTTTCAATCTTAATCTTCCTTCATTGTAAATTCAAATTTGTTTCTCTCTATTGCCAAATATGCATGCAAAATTAATTTCAATCAATTTTTTTTTTAATATTAACGGAAATATAAAGTTATTGATCAAAATTTGGAATATTAACAAGAATATAAAGTTACTGATAAAAATATTAAATTTTAACGAAAACATATAGTTCTTGATCAAAATATTGAATATTAACGGAAACATGAAGTTACTGATCAAAATATTTAACATCAACGGAAATATAAAGTTATTGATTAAAATTTTGAATATTAAGAGGAACATAAAGTTAGTGGTAAAAATATTGAATTTTAACGTGAACATGTAGTTATTTATCAAAATATTTAATATTAACGGAAACATGAAGTTACCGATAAAAATATTTAATATTAACGAAAACGTGAAGTTACTGATCGAAATATTGAATATTAACGCGAACACAAAATTACTGATCAAAATTTTGAATATTAAAGAAAACACATAGTTAGTGATCAAAATATTGAATATTAAAGAAAACACAAAGTTACTGATCAAATTATTGAATATTAAGGGGAACGTGAAGTTACTGATCAAAATATTGAATATTAACGGAAACATGAAATTACTGATCAAAATATTTAATATTAACGGGAACATGAAGTTACTGATCAAAATATTGAATATTAACGAAACATGAAGTTACAGATAAAATATTTAATACTAACGGGAATATAAAATTACTATCAAAATATTAAATAACGGGAACACGAAATTATTGATTAAAATATTGAATATTAAGGGGAATATGGAGTTAGTGATTAAAATATTGAATATTAATAGAAACATGAAGTTACTGATCAAAATATTGAATATTAATGAAAACATAAAGTTAATGATCGAAATATTGAATATTAACATAAATATTAAGTTACTGCTAAATTTTTTTTCCATTAATTATATAATCAATTAATTCTTTTTCAAGTTTTATAAACAAACACCATTTTTAAACTTCATTTAACCATAAAAATAATATAATGAAAACCATCAAACTTGAGGTCATAATAGAGACCAAAATTATCATAACATTTAGAACACTTCTATGTAGCTTTTTACCAACAACAAATTATTATTTTAAAATTATTTTTGTTTCTTTTTAATTTTTATTCAATATTAATTCTTTCATTTTTTTATTATTATATTTTAACTTTATTTATATTTTATATAATATACTAATATTATTAAACATTTTGTTTTAAGTTTATTTTTGAATTCAAATGCGCGTAATACAGCGGTACTGGTGCAAACGCACGGGTATCGTACTAGTTATTATTAGAAAAACATTAACTTATATTATTAAAAAATATTAATAATAATATTAATACTTTAAAATGTTTAAAATGTTTATATTGTTTAAAAATTTAAAGTATTAATATTGTTTGTAACTATAAATAGAGTTGTAATATATAGTATTAATATATTTTAAATAGAAATATAGTATTAATACATTTTAGTATATATTGTTAATATATTTTAATATATTAGTTAATGTATTTTGGATGCAAATCATATATGAAATAAAAGATGCATATCAAATAATAATAGTATCAGTATAAACAATGTGTTATATTCATTTGATGCAAACCTTTTGACATAACAGCGTCTTAGTGGTTAAGTTGTTCTCTTGCAACAAGCATGTAGGAGGATTCTGGGTGTAATTATCATTCGAGTCTTCATTCGAGTCTATGGTGAAGGAATTAAAACACGCTCATATATTTGTTGAGGGATGAGAAATTTTTTTAAGGGGAACAAATCAAAACACGCTCATATAACAGAAGGATAAAGGATATTTAATCATTTTTATTAAGATTATAAAAATATTAATAAATTATTATTATTTGATATAATATATAACATATTAAAAATTAATTTTATAAAATTAGAATAATCGATTATGATTGAAACAAATAAAATAATAAAAATAAATAGATTAAAATAAATTAATTATGTATTTAAAAAGTAAGTATCATCAAATAAAAAATTAACATAACATATCATATTTATAAAATACAAATAAAAAATAAATAAATATAAAAATTATATACACGCAGTTCGCTTCGGTCAGAATTGATTTTGAAAAATCAATCCGAAATATGATCTGCATTAAGCGGCTTAACCAAAATGACATTCAAACACATCTAATAATATTCGATTTTTTTGATTTTCTGCTTGTTTGGTTCATTTTGGATTTGAACCCCCTAAAGCTATATCAAGAAGGACTCATGTTGTTGTTCCAGAGCCTACCGGGACAAAGAAAGTGAAAGCTCTTAAATCAAGAAGTCAACATAGGAGCAGGAAACAACAAAGTCCCCCTCAAAGTCCCGAGAGAGACTGGGGCAGTCACGCTCCACCCCTAGATTAATTTGAAAATCGATTGTCAAAGAGTCAGTCAAAGCATCCCTTGTGCGCCCGGATTTTGGACAACAATATACCAAAATCCATGGAAAAGCCTCTCAAACTAGGTGAGTGTTATGGAAAGGGAGATATATACGAGTACGTACAACTCGTCAATGATTGACTGAACAACTTCGGGGCTGATGAAGCGTTTAAATTTATATTGTTTGCCTTGACCCTGGTGGGTTTAGCCAGACTGTGATTCAATAATCTGTTTGATGGGTGCATCTAAACTTGGGTTGATTTATGTAAATAGTTCTTTGGGCATTTCATTGCCCAGAAAAGACGGTCGTTCATTAAAGTTGTTTTTAACGAGATTGTCCAAGGGAAGAAGGAAAGCATATGGTCCTACATAAACCGAAGAAGAAAGACCTTAAGTGATGGATCTTTGAAATGGCCTTCTAAAGGATCATCCCTTCAAGTTGAAGATAGGAAGAAAGAAGGTGAAAATGGTTGGACATATGACTTCATATACAAAAGAGGGTGAAATGTGTGATTCACAAAAATAGTGGTTTGAAAAACTTTTAGGATCATTTTTAGTGTTTAAAATATTTTAGAAATTAACATTGAAAAATAAAATATGGAAAATAAATAATTAAAGGATAGAGAAATAACACCAGTAACTATAGAGGTTTAGTCAAAAGAAAATATATAATCCTCTATTTGAGATTTATTCTTGAGAGTATCTAGTAAATCTTAAGAGATTTTAGTAGGTTGAACTCTCGAACCCCCTTATACAAGGAAAATGAAGTTTCTGGCTAACTTCTAACCAATAAAGAAAAAAGGAGGGAAGCGGTCATTCTTCCTTCCTAACGACAGATTGAAGTGGTTAATCTTCTTTTCAAACAACAACTTGGAGTGGTTAGTCCCCAAGGTAAACCTAGATTTTACACATGCTTATCTCTAACCAAAGAGAGCTTTCAAATTGGGATGAGCTCACGAACCTAATAGAGGTTTTGACGGGATGACCACAAATCTATGAGATTTTATACCAGACTTATATCAAACCTTAGCAAGTTTTTATCCAGTATGAGGACACGAACCTAGTTAAGGTTTTACACATGTTAACCATAAACGAATGTGAGATTTTATATTGGGTTGATCTCGAACCGATGGAAGTTTTTGAACAGGCTAAGCCTTCGAACCAACCGGTAACTTAGTAACTAAATCCCCAAATCGAATATTTTTAAAAGGGTTTACCTTTGAACTCAAATAAACAATCTCTAATTGCATAAATTATTCAATTAATTTTATCCCAAATCTTTTCATACTGATCTTAGCGGTTGATCAGAACCTGCAAGGTAGCCGGATGATGATCTTCAGGCGGGCTGTGCTGTCGAGGAGGGAAAAAGGAGGTTGTACCTGCAAGGCA